ACACTGACGCACAGGGCTACAGCTGAACGGAGGTGGCTCTGGCCAGTTTTAAAGAAAGGAAGGCTGCTCTTTGAAGCAAACAGCAATTGAACTAGCTTTAGTTATTCAATCCATAGAATAAGGCTGGCTCATCTACTGCTTACACACAGGCCCAGTGTGTATGGAAAGGAAATTCACTCCTGAATTATTTTTTTATGCTAGTTTGTTTTCTCCATGCGGTCTCCAATTTTTCATTTGAATTGTTCAGGCTGACGCAGAATGGCTGCCAATGCACAATCTGCTCTCTGTGCAGTGTATTTTCACCATCATTACATGCTCCATACTTGTTTTCCATATATAAACAGATATACACATAGTGTATAATACTTATTGCTAAAGACAGACCCCCACACCCAGCACCCAGGACATAACATGATATAATAAAAACCACCACTGAAGCATTTCAAACATCCTCTGTAAAATGATCACCTAAAGCCATATGGACGCAGTACAACAGAAAAAAGTGTCAGCTAATAAAATGTGAGAATAGCAATGGGCATTTTGAAAGTGATTAAGCCTCTTAAGACCTTAAGAAGCACTCCAAAATTAAGGTGCATGTACTGTAACTTTTCTAAGCAGTAGAGAGAAAACCTACGGTTCCTGTGCTCTAAACCAACATGGCAAAGATGGGTCCCATTTGCAAGTGAACGGCATCGTTGCATGGACCCCCTTTACACATCAGCATCTCCACGTAACTACTAACAGGGCAGGGTGGTCAAGATGGCCTGATCGCACACTTCTTCTTATGAACCCCGTTTGCAGAGTGCTTCCCACCCCCTATTTTTGTCTTTGATTTTTCTATCAAGCTCCAGTTCAGTTCAGGATCCATTTTGCCTCTTTTAAAGTTTCAGTGAAGAAAAATAGTTGCCCTTTCTCTTCAAATACAAAGGAAAAATATTCTGGTTTGCAAGCATCAAAATACTTTTATAATTTTATGGTAATATTTGCGCGACTCCTTTACATCCCAACCTTCAGTTTGGTAAGGAGTGCTGGAGCCCAACAGTGCCAGAGGGGTTTTGCTGTAATATTCATTCAAGTCTAGTTAAGTTAGAAGCCAGATGGGAGTAGAAGGAGATCACCACTTGCACAAGATCAGAAGAGGCTTACTGAAGGAAGGCAGCAGGAGCATCTGAAGATTTTGATCATGGTACACACATTCCAACCGCACACAGCTCACAGGACACACGGGAGGCTGAGGACAGAAGAGCAGAGGAGCCTTTCTCTGACTGCTTCCCGCAGCAGCTAGAAAGAACTGGGCACAAGAAGGGAGGAGTGAAACCCTCCAGGCATCACAGAAGAAGACAGAGTGCAGAAAGCTGAAGTATAAAAGGAGAAACAGATGCAAGCTGCAGAACGGACAGATGTAGAAGCTTAGAGACACAATTAAGAGAGACAGGTGGATGTCAGCCATACAAGAGGACTGCATCCATGGAAGAACAGTTTCAGTTCTTTGCCACCCAGCAAATACTTGAGATCAGAAAATTGCAACCCGTCTTCTTCAACTGTTTTGAAGAGGACAACAGGCTTCTACCACTGTAAATTACTCCATAGCTGCACAAAGATCTAAGGCCAGAATATCCAAAATATGGGCACTACTCAACCTACAGCTAGCCAAGGAAGCATCTTCCAACCCATTGCCTGCCATATGACTTGAAGTACCTCCATTTTGTAACTGAAACATAGGCAGCCCCATCATGTGACACCTAATCATGTCACCAAGACTACGTTTCATTTATGACTGCAATATTGATGTCCTACTGCCATTGCTGCAACTGAAAACGCAGAATTCCTGATGTAGATGCATAAGGGATGGTCACAGGAAGGAGGCAGCTTTGAAATGAATCACCCTGGTATCTCCATGAAAAAAAAAAAAAACAAACCCAAAACTCTCCGACAAAAAGCTGGGCATTTAAAGGCTCCACAAATTTGCTATTTAGCCATGTGAAATCACACAAGCCTTCTGTACAATGGCATTTCCCTTTTGTTTATTACTATTAAGAACTTATATTAAGTTAAAAGAAGGCTGCAAATTTTAAAATTTTACCTTTCAGTGCACATGTATCAAAAACAGTCCTTACATCGCCATATACTATTTCTTCCTCAGAGAAGGTCTACTTCCTTCATCATACAGCACAAGTAATTGCAATTAACGCCCCGATAAATGATGTTGCAAATAGATCCCTGGCTTATTTACAGAGGAGGCAGGAAGACAGATGGAAAATGATGCCTACAGGAAAAAGATCCTCTCAGTAAGGCCAACTAGAAGAAATACTGGTATGAACCAGATCACATCGGGTTTGACTGGCACACGAGCAAAGCAATCAACTGTAGATTACATTCTGTGCAAAACACTTAGCATTTTTATGGCACTTGACTTGTAAGTGTTTAAGGAAAAAACTTCAAAAGCATCCCAAACCTTTGAATACTTGAGAAACTGGGGCCAAAACTAACGTTCACAAGTTACAGACTAACATCACAATTTGAGAAAGCAAACTCAGACAAGTTTGTGAAGCATTCAAGCAATACACAATGTATCACAGCACTGTCCATAAGGACACTGAGATTGTATGAAGATATGAATACTTGCAGGAATTTTTATATATGACTACACAAGAAATGAAGATAAAAAAATACTAAACAGATCATTCATCTTTGTAAGCACAGTCCATCCTGAATAAGGCAGGATCCTGAGGGATAAAATTACATACTCACATAAATTTAGAGACCATTAAATATACAAACAGGAGACAAGTTAAAGCTGCAAGGGCAACTTTGACCTTACTATTTCCTTTTCAGGATACTATTCCTCCAACTCTGCACGAAGAAAGACACCTCCGTCCTCCCACCTGGAATCTCTCAGTCCACCTCCACCTTCAGTAACATTTACAATTATATTACATCACACGCATGCACACACATTGCATTATTGCTACAGTGTATGCTGTATAAATTATGTAAATACACTCCACTTTGTTTCAAAGTAATTCATCTGGATTTATACTTCTTTATACAGTACACACAGTACCACATTCAAGGATATGCAGCAAGTGGATAATATATTAAAAAGTCTCACATATCCAAAAGCAAGTAGGTCACTCAACTATTAATATTGTTTGAAGCAGTTATTTAAGCATCCAACTATATAACACAGTATTTTATTTATTAGCAGTTGCTATAAAAATGTCAACAACTCCTCAGCTCTTGTGTTCTCTCTGCATGATGAAGTTGCCAATCATGATTCCATAATTAACTTCCATGTTACCATGCAGTTCTGTAATGTCTCCTATAAGCTTGATGTGGCAAGATGTTTTAAATAGCAATCACTCTATAACAGGGGTTTACATTTTGCTTTGGACATCAAGAGTGGTAACTCACTTCAGACATGACAGACAGACGGGAAATGTCAGGGTAGGTTTATTTTAGCAATGAACCAGCCATGCTGCTTTCTTTCTCAATAATGGTTTTATCATGAAAGTTCAACGCACTGGTTGCAAAGTCTTTCCCAGATAATCCATCTTTGGCACTTTTTTCAATTTTATGCATCCTCAAAAGGCATTTGAAGATTTTTTGATTTTTGATGGTCTGTACATTATAACAATCACTTCTTTTTTACATTTGTATGTAGATCAGGAAGAAAAATGGAAAATGTAGAGTATGCAGAATAGTTTTAATAAACAGTTTTACATACAGTACCTTACATATAGAACAGTGTGTTTGCAAATTTAAATAATTTTTGAATGTACAGTGGCTTGTACTCTTATCAAAAGGTAAATTCAAGTTTACTGTCTATCGGTTCTAAAATGCATTTATACAGATAACTAGAACTGATAAACAGACGTGAGGCATAAAATGTTCAAGTATCTTAATGTCATCAGTTAAATAGCCTCCTTTTAACAGTCATATTTTACAAATTTCAAAACCTGTACATACATTATTTTCAATTTTAGAAACTGCTTGTTAAAAGGTAACATTTCATGTTAACCACCAGTTCTTATAGTCTATTGTAATAAAACTAGACATGTAGATATAAATGTATCTAGTATGTATATATGTACATGTGTATCTATACACATATACATACACATACAAATATGTATGTAGCACTGGGTACAGTGGCAACTTATAAGCACAGGGAAAGTCCTGTGCTCAAAATCCAGCAAGAGCTAACAGAGCAAGTAGGTTGCCTTTGGTTTCATGACGTTTCATTCACTGAAGCTAAAAGATTTTATAAAAACATCTTGGATAATGTATCTTGTGATATTTTTTCTAGTGGTTTAGTATATTCACAGCCACAGACAGTTTTGCTGCTCTTGTCATTCCTCATCCCAGCTGAGGATGGTAAAGTTTCAGAGGGCCAACACCAGAACAGAGCTACCCAGGACAAAAATTGTACCTGGAATCCTGAATACTGCAATAGAACATAAAAAAATATAAACTAGATACAATTTTGGATGGATTGCTGGCACCGAGTAGGACTTTGGAAAAAACCTTCATGTAAGTCATAATCAAACTCTCACCCCAGTGGTTTTAATATTATTTGGCACATCTGACTACTATTTGCCACTTACGTTTTAAAGGAGCCTAAGGGTGCTGTAATAAGGATTTCTATTTAAAAAAATACTTTAAAAAGGAGACCATGATAAGTAATTTCTTTCAAAAATCAAAGCTAGTATGTTCATTTTCCTGAACATTCATGAGAGAAGGAAATAATCTAAAAACTTTCCTTGTAGAGAGGATACAGATCTCTGTGTCTATCTTTCACTAGCAAGATAAGAGGAATTCATTAAAAAAGTTCCCAAGAATTTTGTCAGCTGAATTCTGCCAATTTAGAATTTTTTGCCAAAGGTTTCAAAATAGTAGCATTGTTCTTCACAGAGTTGTTGTTTGTTCAACTTTCTTGTATGTGGGGATTTTCTTGTTTATCGTGTTAAAATCGTATCAACATTTCTCTATATGTAATATAGTACATTTTGAAGCCTGGACATTGAATATTCAGATTTTCAATATAACAGATTCCTTACTCTAAAATTTCCTCTCCCCTCTCTAAAGCTTCAGGCTATTAATGTAATCAGCAAAGAACCAGATAAATGCTCAGCTTTTTGCTGTCTTCCTGTCAGTCTTGTGGCTAGTAAGAAAATTCACTGTAAAGAACCTATTTTTATTTCTTTATTCTTCCTTTTGTCATACAGAGCAAAGCGTTGCTATTTGCTGTACTTTTCCCATGTCAATTAAGAGCTGTTTGATACGTCGCTTGAGCTGAGGCAATCTTGCCAGAGGATCTGGTGGTTCCAGTTCTCCAGTGAAATCAAGCCAGCTTTCTAAAACTACAGAAGGAAAAGGAAGAAGTTGATTAGAATAAGTCTTCGAGAAACAGTTTTCATAAAAATTAAACCTTTTTGTTCTTACTCTCTGTCTTTTATAAGAGAAAATATACGGAGGCTGTGATTTTTATTTAACAGAAAAATTTTTTATTAGGGAAACGCCAACCAATTCCGTGTTTCACTCAAACAATCCAAACATATCTTCTGATTTGATTGTTACTATAAAAAGGTACCTGGGAGCAAATTATACCCTGGGCTAACAATTTACCATCTACACACATAAAAGAAACCTCAGTTCATGACCTAGCTATGACAGTTCTGCAACAGAAAATGCAATCCTTAAATGCAAGGCTTGCTTCTGTCACTTTAACAGGCTCCTGTTTACAAGGTCCAGATTACAGAATGGTTTTCCAATCTTCAACAAATGTTTTCAAGGAATTTCCATGCTTGTAGAGACAGAGAAGGGAAAAGGTCAACCCTGTTAGCCTAGAAATACCGCCTAACACAAGCAGGAATATTGAAGTAAAACTGCAAGTAGGAATAAGACAACTTTATTTGTCAAAAGATAATTAAGGACTCCTATGACTAGACTACACGCTCCCCTCATTCTTAATTTCTATGACTGGTGAGTAAACTTATGTGCTGTAATATTTACTCCTACACTATAATCTCATTCAAGTTTTCTCATGAAGCCTGATTTGTCTTCCTGAAACCAGTTATTTACTAATATACAGCAAACCAAAGTTGAAGCCAGAATGAACCCATCTTTTTTTTCCTAAATATTGTCAAATACTAGAACAATCAAGCCAAAAACACTCCACGCATATAAAAATCCATCAGCTTTATAACCCGTATCTGGACAAAGACTAGACAAGTTATCTAAGCCTTCTGAAGTCTGTCTAGTATCACAAACTTGAGCTAAATTTTCAGGGTTCCTGAGTGCTTCAGCTACTTCATTGGGCATTCAAAACTTGTGGAAGGGGGTGGAGGGATCAAGGGTACAAGCTCTGGTTATAATTTTGGGTACCCAGATTTGAATACAATTCTTAAAAACCCATCCTCAGTGCCTCAGATCACTTTCAACACAGTGGCTATGAAAGATGCTTTTACAGGTGTATTAACAAGTATCTGGCAATGCAGTTACCATCAACTTCTTTTTCAATCAGGTCCATTCTGCTGGTGACTTCATTCTGTACATTCTCTATATGGGTAAGGAGATTTAGCTGCCATTGAAGATGTGTGTCCACTTGTTCTTCTGAGCCTTTTCTTTCATTACAAACAAACACAGTGTTTCCTTCAGCGGAATTCTTCATAGGAGCAACAGAAAGAAAAAAATTGCCATTTAAAAGGGTTGTTCTGTTCTGGGTTGTTTTTTTTTTTTAATTTCTGATGTTGATTTCAACACTTGAGTCACACGATAAGCTATGCTGTTTCAGAATTGTACTTCTGTCTACTTGACAAAAAGCATACTCAAAAAAGCCGTTTACCATGACACATCAATAGACTAAACCAAACAAAATGCAAATTCCATACAAATGAGCATGTGTAGCACTGGGGGAGTGAGGCAAGAGGTAAAGTTTACCAGCTCAAGCACTTTGTTTAAATGCAGTAAGACAGAATGCATTTCTGTGCCCTTTTTATATAAATTGTGACTTAAATTATGAAGTGCTGAACTGCATTGCTCTACCGTCACCAAAAATGTACAAAACCCTAAGATTCGTTTCAACTTTAGCCAGAGAATGAAGGAAAACTCCCTAAAACTCAGTAATATCCAAGATGTCAAAAGTAATTATTTTGCACAAAAAAGCTGGCCGTTCTATTTGTTGATTAAGGCAAAAGACTTCTCTTCCTACCATTGCTATGGTCCCATGTAACTTGCAAGCACAAGTCTGGGACAGAATTGAACATGTTCAGGGATAGTTACAAGGGCAGTAACATGCAGAGTTACGCAAACATAGTATCTGAAGAAGACTGACTTCTCTGAAATAATTAGTATGTTCATAGCAAGTCAGAGATAATACACAAGTTCCTCATCTTTCTGTATTTGACGTTCAGCTAATGGAAATGACTAAAGGAAGTACATCGGATCTTACATCGGATCTAATGAATTAAAATATTCAGCATCTCCATTAATTAGCAGGATTCACAGTTTACATTTTATATCCACTATGACTCCATATCTGATTAAGTTCTTTCACTATTGATGATTCTATTTTAGGGACTAGAACACTGGATACGTGTGCTCACAGTGTGTCAGTTCATGGCAAATGCCAGAGCAAGGAGTGATTTTTATCTTATTAATACACTTGTCTGATGAAGTGCTCAGCTAATTTTTTTCCACGTCACGTAATAACAGACTTAACACCATTTTTTTTCTTAAACTATTTCTTCCTCCAGTCAAGAATGGGAAGAGTGAGAAGAGAGGGGAAGAAGAAAATAGGGACTGATGGATTTTAAGTTACTACTTCAGCAAAAAAAAAACCAAACCAAATTTCTTTTTAAGACTTAAAATCAATGAAAAAAAAAAAACAAAACATCAAACTTGGACCGACCTGCTGGCAGCTTTATGAGCAAGTCCTGGAGGACAAATATTGTTAATACTCACAATATTCATTAAAGGAGTTATTTATCAAAGATAGATTTGAAAAGCCATAAAAGCTCATATAATCTCTCAAACCTTTCAGATAAAATCTTTCTTCTCTCAAAACATCAGGTTGGCCTCCACAGTGTTTTCACTGTTCAGACTGTTATCAATCTTATAAATGATATTTCCAACGTAAACAAGAAATGCCCTATTTCTTACTTAATTTTCAGACCCTCTCTAAAACCATGAGAGAAGAACGCAATTTTTCCCTTGCTGTATGAGGACCCAAGTCCATAATTCTAAAACCAAGATCATCTGTTAGGTGAATCTTTTAGATGCCCACTGCAGTAAGTTAGAGAAAATCTTAAAGTTAAATAACTTAATATCTAAATAACATCATAAAAGATTTTTTTTTTTTCCTGTTAATGACCTCTGTATTTATTCAAATGGCTAGTTAATGCTCCTTGGAAAAAAACCCACAAGATCAAACAAGTCCTCCTCTAAGCTAAGAGATCAATGTAGGCAATCACGGAGCCCTGGCAGGGGTAGTAAGAGAAGCAGAGTACAGGATCCAGCTTGTGAAGAAGAAATAAACAGGAGGTTCAGGTGAGGAAGGCTCATGCTTTCAGAAGCAAGAACAAGGAAACGACAATTTTAAAGATAATGCATAGTCCAAAAAGGGACTTGATAATAGTCAATCTGAACACTGTTTATAAGTGAAAAGAAGATATGTAATAGAACTGTAGATTAGGATAAGACAAAACAGTATGGAAAGCCAGAATATTCAAGGTTCTGCAGGATGCTAGAAAGGAGAATCCAAAGCCCCAATCAGAACTTTGACAAGGAGAGGTGAAGAAGGCACCTTACAGAGAAGTCAGTTCACATAAAAATGGCACTTCACTGTCAGTGTCATCATGGTTTTAAGGTAAGTACAAACAGGTTCACGGAGAAACCAAGGAGAGCTTTTCAATGCGTATTAAGTCTAGACAGAAAGCCTTATTTCAGATATCAAGGCTGACTAGTGACAAGGTGAACTAAGGTGTCCCAAAGGAAAGAGTACTCTGACACTGCCCCAAACAGATCTCTTCCTGGTTTAAAAACAGAGAGCACCTAGCTTTTTAGATATATGCTTTAGTCTCTGAAGGAAACATTAGTTTTGTTTCACTGCTCACAGATATTTTCTTTTAATTCTAAATGTATTTATACTATTTACAGTGATAATTTAAGCTACTGTTGGAAGGAAAGTTATTTTCACACTGCTGCATGTCTCCTTACTATACAACCTGAATATAATCATGCGATTTAGCATACAAACAGTTATTTCTAAATAGAATGAGCCAAAATTTCCCATTCAGATTATACAGCTTACATGCCACATTTAAAACTAAAATTAAAAAAAAAAAAAGAGATGTATCTTACTCATTTCTTCCACACCAGAAAGTGTACTTCAAAAGGGGGATGAGTTGGGCGATTTATTCTCACACAGTTGGTATTGTAGAAAACAGAAAGGTTTGTTTCACTTTGTTTTTTGCTCAAAGAGAACTCTTCACTAAAACCAGACTAGCAAGTTTCAGACCTTTTCCACAAAGTAATGTATTCAAACCATTAATGCAAAAATGAGAGAGAGATGTTTAAATAGCCAAATATAATCCTGACTAAAAACCTGTGAAACATTTCATTAGAAGAAATACGCAATATAAAAGACTCAAAACAAGTTGCACACGAGGCGAAATTAGTTGGCCAGTAAATCATTACTTGTGGACAGAATTCTAGATAGTGTTGCTATTAAAAGAAGAATATGGTACAATAATAAACATTATTACAAATATCAGTTTAACAAACAACAACAACAAACCCACATGTAGAAAACAGAATTGAGAGAAAAAAGAAAACTTGTCCCGTTTTCCTCACCTCGCAAAAACCACGTAAGTTCTGTTTCAAGACTCTGCATTTTAAGCATAGGATTTTTTGTTTTTCCCCGAAACACTGGATTCAGCATAAACAGTTTTTGCATAGGCAATACTTTAACTATACTTTGCATTTCATTCACCAGCTGAAATGGGTATACTTCACCTGAAACTACTTCAGTGACCCAACTTGCTTCTAGTGATTTCTGCTGACTTATTTGATAGAATATGTCAACTTGTAACAATGAACATTTCTAAACACTTGTATGTGCTTGAGTTTTATCAGATTGAACATATTTTTCCAGCTGAGAAATTTCCCAGATGAAGAATGATACTTACCTGCTCATTCATGCCATCATCTTTAAAAGAATATTGTAAACAGTTTTTATTCTCTGTGTGAAATTCCTGATCTTCCTCAAAACTACTTGTATCTTCATCATCTGAGCTCACAGGGTCAGTGACTGTTTTGCAGTCTTGACCAAAACTCTGTGGTTTTTGGTAACTGTGCTCACTTGTGATGTATGTTTCTTCCATCTTCTGGGGTATACTGGACGGTTCTTTATGGTTCTGACTGTGACACGTCCTTTCAGTTGGATTAACAGCATCTGGCAAAGTCACTAACTTCTTCTCTACCCCAACAGTTATTTGTTCTTGTTCTTTTCGCATCCCTGAATAAGCCCAGAGATGAAGGTCTGGGTGATGCTTATTTCTGCAACGAAGGGGAGGAAAAAAAGCAAGTCATAGAAAATACCACTTACAGCACTGAACTATTAAGCATCCGTTTCTGCTAGATCACAGCTATTGATAAGCACCGTTATCAAATATGCAAGTATTCCTAGGTCACTTATCAATTTAGGATAAATCCAGAATGTCCCTTAACCCAAAATTGAAAAAAAAAATTTAAAAAAATCACCAATAATCCCAATATACCAGATCCACCTAGGTGTTGAACACCTAACTCCCACTGAAACTGAGGGCATTCTACATCTTGCTGTTGAATTATTTAAACTATTATGGAAGAACGAACTTTAATGTGAGAGAATAATGCATATGGAACAATGGTAGTCTCTGCTACTTAAATATATAAAGATGGAGAATAAACCCTGGACTGATACTTACTTTAATATCCCAATCTTCAACTGCAATCCATGCAGTATTTCAGTTACACCATATACATCTGCCAGTAGGTGATGTGTTGACACAATCTTTTTGGCATTAAGATGAGAGTAGTTTTCTTTCAAAAATGATAATCCACACATGTGTCCATTGTTTAGCCAGTCTTTATCATAAAGATATTTGGCACTCCACCTCTGACCTGGGGTAAGCAATAAACAAATTTGAGGGCATCTAAAGCCACAGCAGAATTGTATTTAAAACTAGAGTGCTATAATTATATGTTGTACTCTCCTAAATGTCTCCTAACATCCATGAAAGAATGATTCAAGGTCTTGCTATTAATATATTAAAATTCAGTTTTCATGGATTAAGAGGAAACTCTTAACACTTATGAAAACAAAAATAAACCTGAAATCTCAAGACTTCTTTAAATGGCATTTGAAATGAAAATCTAATCACTTTTGCAATCAAAGTACAGAATACTAATAACTGTGCTATTATCAATCTAACTGCAAAAAAATGTTTAAATTGGCATTTTATTTCACTAACTACTGCAGCTTACTTTTAAAAAAAAGAAAACCTAACTTACCAGAGAAATGTTAGAGAGTGGATTTTACATGGACATATCCAAAATACCTAGTTTGTTTCTAAAAGACAAATATTTTGTTTCAATACTGAAGTCAATATCTATTTATAAGAAGCCAGGAGAAGGCTTCATGAAAAGCAGACATTTCAAAGTTACCTGACAGCAGAGTTCTTACGCTCTCCTTTGAGGTGCCTTTACCAGACACTACTAGACAGAGTACTGATGTAAGTGGGCCTTAGGTCTCCCATGCTATGGCAACATCTATGATCTTAACCCAATAGGCATGAATAAGTATTTAGCTAATGCTTCTATAGTAACTTAATAACTATTTAAATTAAAAAAAAGGCAACAAAAAACAAAACTAGAAATGTATAATGCTAATTATTCCAGTATTATTGTTTATAATGAGGAACCCAGACAAACAGACTGACTAAGACCGCAATATCTTACACTCAATTTCATATCAGACTATCATCATATACAGAACAAAGAATGGGTTGATGGAAGCCCTCCATACCTTTCAGGAGAATACCCTGTCTATCTCCTTTCTGCCCATTATCCCAATACACTTTAAAATACTGACATTGTGAATGACCTTTTTCTCCTGACATAGAAAGAAAAGAAGTAATGGTTAGGAAGGGAGAGAAGATAAAAATTAGGGACACAGTCTGTGCATAGCAGGGGATAACGAAGTACCTAGTACAGTGCAGGGAAAGAACACAAGACAAATTAGTTGGTTTTAATAAGAAAAAGCTTGACTGCTCAAAGAGTACACCACACAGAACTATCAAACAAGACTCTATACCATCAACTTAGATTCAGATTGGGGCAAACTGAAAAAGTCACATCATCTTTCCAGCTCTATTTTCCTAAATTTTCTTCTCAAAAATAACTAATAAAAACTGTCCTGTTTTATACATCTGCAAACAGTTTTCAGATTTCATTTCTTAAATTCAGAATGAAAGTAAATTTGAGGGTGTAGTCTCATTGCCCTTTTGAAACAGCTGGACTGTTGGATATTTCACCAGAAGACATGTATGTGCGTTTGTATCAATTGTCAGGAAAAATACTAAAAACTTTCTTCCAAATCATGTAGTTTTTCTCCAAATAACTGCTATGAAAAATGGGTTTATGGACAGAATCATTTTTAAATCAACATCTTCCTAATCAAATGTATTCAGTTTAAAAGTAAATAGACTTTTCCTAATTCTTACCATTTCAAACTTATCCTAACAATCTTAAGTCAAGATGTGCTGTTTGTGCACTATCATTTACCATAACAAGTGCTAGATTTTTTCATATTTTACACATTCAGTTCCACACCTGTATTTACACAATTCTGGTCAAATGCAAACATTATAAAATTGCAATTAATTTGAAATGACATCCACAGCATATTTGAGTGTACTATGGTAATGAATCCTTTTTGTCTAAAACAGCATTTAAATGAACAAGTGTGATTCCAAGCATAGGCAAAACAGATTGCTGAGCAAGAATGATTTGTTTAGAAAGACTTTTCAGACTACAACGACATGAAAAAGTGCTAAGGTTTTGGGGGAATTAAGTTTCAACAACTAAAGCGACGATAATAAAGATCACGAATAAGATTTAGCATAGCTGAACAAGATGTTACTAACAGGAAAGTAAGTTTTCTGCTCAGAGCCAAACGTAGGATCACTTGCCCCAAAGAAGCATAACAGATAACACAAAACAGACAAAGCTTTAACAATTTAAGCAATGCGTAACATCTCTGCTTAAATATCCCAAGCAGACAGCTACAGATAAAGGTGGTTTACCCATACCTGGTGGATCTCTGCAGATATAACAGATGTACTGCTCTGGAATGCTGTCCTCTAACAGTCCCATGCATACACTGTGCTGCCAACACAAGCATTCTTCACACTGATGTCAGAAAAAAACAAAGGCAAAAACTATAACTGAGATAAGTAGATTCAAAAATCAGAAGCTATTTCTTGTATCGTCAAAATGCAGAGAACAGCAGTTTAACTTAAATAGCTGGTTTGAGTAAGATTATTTTAGTTGGGCAATTTGTGTTTGGGTAGGCAAAGACATCGAGCTGAAAAATAGCTCTAGTTTCGAAAGTTACCTCAAACACAAATTCCAGACTGGAAAAAAAAAAAAGAAATTGAAGATGTAATATTTAATAATATTTTATTACAACATTCAGTATTTTAGCACCTAAATATTTAGTAGTGAAACATAAGACAGGAGTATAATATTACAGTAAAGTAGAAAGATAATGTAATACATTACAGCATAACAGTGAAAAGTAGAAAACTCTTCAGTTTAATTATTTATATTTACAAAGCATCTCTCCAGTGCGCTAGAAAGATGTGTTTTTAATATCGCACCAATGGAAAATCTAAAAGAAAAAGAAAATGAAGAGAAAATGAAAGAGGAGAAACAAGAGAATAGGAGAGCAAAATAGAAGTGGTAAGACATGAGGGCCTAGAAACAGCAAACTGGTTGCTTTCAGTGAGACAAGGCATGAAGAGGAAAAAATCAGGCTGTCATTGGACTTTAGAAACAGGCAGGAAACTACCACTTAAAAATACATTTCCCTTTCTCAACTCAGTATTTGCCTGTGTTCTAAATATCTACTGGTTTACTACTGAAAGTCTCTCCTCTTTGCTTTGACATGCTTTTGAGCATCAACCTATTTAAAACACTGAAGTCACTTTTCCTCTTGTCGTACCATTACGGCTACAGTTTCCTCTCCTCTCTCCAAAGATTTCTACACCAGTCCATTTTTCCACATTATTACCATAGCTGAACTCCTGCTTAGTTCCGCCAACACAGCACTGCATTTCAGTGTGTTCCCAGGGACAGTCTTTGTGTCCTTCATTTTCAGGCATTTCTGTCATTTCCCAAAGACTTTACCAAAGACTTTAAGTCCATTAACACGGGACAGCCATACTCGCTTCCTTCAAATCTCAACTAAAAAAGCTCCACATATTCAACAGAAACTGTACCACATTAATAGCTGAATACAAACCTGTTTTTTGAGTGGGGAAAAAAACCACAGGAAGTTCATGGCTTTTTTTAAAGTTACTGACAACTGAGATCTTCCTCACTGTTGCTTGCACCTAATCTAATCACTATAACATGAATTGCTTGAGACAAAGACTTTAAGTTATTCATTACTAGATGGGAAATGTTCCCCTCATTTGAGTAGAAATAAATAAGCAGCAGTAGTTGCAAGCCATCAGCACCTGAATGCTATGCAGACACTGTATAATCTTCTTCACTTTTTTCTACACCAAGTAAGATTTAAATTCATAGCGGTTTCTAAAACCAGCTAGTGACTTTTAGTTTGAGAACTGCTATTTTAAAGATGAAGCATGCACATCACACACCCATCACAATTACTGACAATATTAACATCTGTATAGCAGAGGTCCTGGATACAGCTGAGGTACATTTACAGTCAGCAGAGTGGTACTGCAAAGCACCAGGGCAAAAGCAGAAGGGCTGGTATAATCGGGATAGTCTGTGGACAGAAGCGACGATTTGTGTGCGGGAAAGGATACTTTATTCCAAATTTATCAGCTCGCTATGAAGAAAAAGGTTACCTTTCCTTACAAACCTGTTCTATATATGGATTTGTTAGAGAAACCCAATCCTAGAGTAATAGTTCTACATACACCGAACAGAGTCATGCCAAGTGCAGAACATAGAAATATTTTGTTACTGTTCACTTCTATTTACAGCTCTCTACATAACTTCAGTCTCCAACACATCACAAGTAAGAAATTCAAATGGAAAATATAACCCCCCCGCCAATTCCTTTACCTGAATCATAAAGCCATTTTCTTCATCCAGTTCACAAATGCATCTAACAATTTCATTGAGAGCATCATCTTCATCCTGAGACTCTTCAAAGTTAGTTGAATCAAAGTCCTGATTGTATTCATCACCACTAAGTAACAAACTCTCTGTAGAGGAATCATCCAAGAACTCCACATCTGAAAGGTCTAGTAAAAATAAATACATGTGAAACTGTGTGTGCAGAGATGTGATACTTTACAGAAATATAGGGGGGTTTAGCAGTTAAAAATCTTAACCTGTGTATAGCAAAAAATTGCTCTCAAACACACTGCTGGTATATTAGATTTCTTGATAAATTCTGCAAAATACCTTTAATGTGGTATCCTCAGAAGCAGAGTAGCAACACTTAACCAAAGCAAGTACAATGCAGAACAGCTTGAGGAGTGTAAGCATTTTGATTTAAATAGATGAACTAAGTATAAATCAGTCACCATATTTATAGCTATAATCCCAAACACAAACCAAATTATTTCCTTTAAAATTCTCTTTCTTAAAGAATTAAACCTACAAACTGAAAGTTGCTGTTCAGCCAACCTACTTTCTCCACTAAGATCAACAGACAAGATAGCTCTTGGATACTGGTATGATGTATTCTTCTCCGAGAACATGCTGCGCAAAGTCAGAGAGCTCCCCGAGGACCGTGTTAATGGAGAGGAGCACCTGTCCAAGAATTCAACAGAACTATCTTCATAATCTGAATAATCTGAAAAGTTAAAAGAAAATAAGTCACTGTTACAAAAGCAAAGAAAAGTTCATGACAAATGCAAAGTAAAAAAAAAATTTAAGTACACTGCAACATTATGTTCAGAAGTAAAGAATAGCAACATTGAGGTATTAGCATGATGAAACTGTAAATATGAAATGACACAAGCTCTTCATAATATATTTTATAAAAAAAATTCCCGTAAGAAACATAATGAAGTTTAATAGCTAAGAGAAGCACTACCCATTTAACTCCCCCCTCCCCCCATCTCTAAATGTATAGAGGAATAATTTTTCCTAGATCATTATACAGTTTTCTTTTTCCACAATTCATCCTGTACCATCTGCTAGCCTTAGAGATGCTGCTGGTAGCTCTCTCTTTTTGCCTTAGGTCTGTTTGTAGCACTACCAACATCGCTACCTAGAAGTAACTGCAGACTGCCCTGTCAGGATAAGTGATAAAAGCTTGTCTGCACACCTGCAGAGGAGCACAGGGAGCCCAAAGAAAACCCTCCTGGGATGCTCCCAGGCCCATCCCAGGAGCCATC